AAAAACAAGTGATTGTTCTTTAAAAGTCTATTTTATCCAATGCTTTTCATTGTCTTCTTTCAAAAGAAGTCATTTTGAACATTATTGTTGTTTTTCAGTCGGCTGTTTTGTTGATAAAATATCAAAACAAAAAAAGACAAACACTTGTTGTCACACTTGCTTTAGAGGATAGGCTTAATAAGCAGCCTAAAAATGCAAAAAGCAACCTCTATCATTGCATAGTTATAGACATGTAGTAAAATGAAATATTGAAAAATACACTAATTACTACGGGTATGCACAAGATTTTGAGGTTTGAACCGATTAAATGAAGAAGATATACTGTAACATGTTACACAGAAAGAGTTTTGTGCTTCTCATCTGTCAACAATAAAGCCAATAATTGTATTTCCCAAAATATTAAACTGCTGGATTTAAAAAATGCAGACAAATACTGTGGAAATTTTTGTTTCCATAATACTTCCAGTTATAGCTATCAAGTGAATATGAGTCTGATAAGAGGTGAACGTAGTGTGGGTGTGAGGGATAAAACTCTTGGGAAACCACAGCTTACCAGTAAAAATTCAGTGTTTTGGGTCAAAATCTTCTGAATATGTGACCAAGTTGATGTTTCTTTCACTAATATTCAGACCACGATTCTGCTTTAGTAATCTCCATAAATGTTCAAGTGTGTTGGCAAAACCAGGCACTGACAGCTATCATACAACAACCGCACACAGGGACTTAGTGAATGCACACCATCAAAACACAAGCTCTCAGACTGCCCACGCAGCAAACTTAGAACAGTCTTAAAGTGTAAATACCCTTGTCACTATCAGTATTATCTCAGGACTACACGCTCAACTGACAAGTTCTTTCCATGAAGTGTGAAAAGTGTGAAAAGGGGAACAGGGGAAGATATGTTGTTAATCAGGTTGACAGTGAGCGCCAGTTCATCTTGCTCAACTTCCCTTGAGTAATACTAAAGAAAAAACAATTCCTGTAAAATAAATGACGTAACTGCATCAGCATGAGCTCATATCTGATATATGTTCAACCACACCAAGATTTTATCATCTTCAGTAAAAACCTAAGGAAAGTTAAAGTACACACAGTGCCAAACTGAGCACATTTGGTGCATGAGGCAGGCTGCCCTTCCATCCCCTCACAGGGCTGACATAACCATTCACGTTTATGGACAATTTAGAGTCACCAGTTAACCTGACCTACATGTCTCTGGACTGTGGGAGGAAGCCAGAAAACCTGGAGAGAACCCACAACCCACAATGACACAGGGAGAACATACAAGCTACACACAGAAGGGCCCTGGTCAGCCAGTGGATTTGAACTCAGAACCCTCTGGCTGTGAGGCAAGAGTACAAACCACTGCACCACCATGCCACCTCAAAAAAACAAAAAACAAAAAACAAAACAAAACAAAACAAAACAAGGCACATAGGGCAAAAAACAACTTTGCTGACAAACAATAATGATAATAAAAAACAAACAATACAAGAATAGGGTATGTGCAAATTTCACCTCCATTTTCCTTTTGCACTGCACCCTGGGTGGCTTTTGCCTTTTCATCTTCCCTTACTCTATGCTCTTTTTGGAGGGGGTGGAGAGTTAATTTTGGAGCCCCCGCTGGCTAATGCCCTAGGCAGCTGCCTAGTCGCCTATAGGAAGGTCCACCCCTAAGTACACACTAAATGATTTTCAAATTTAACAAACTAGAAATTTAGAAATACATATATGTACAGACTAAATTAAATGCACAAGTTATTATTAATTTAACTAAATGATGCAATAATTAAGCACTCCTTAAGGACATTGAAACAATGTCAAATGTCTTTGTCTTCTTTTGTAACCACCTGAAGAGCCCTAAAGCCATGTATAAGACGAAGACAAGGGTATTTCTGTCATACCATGTACAATCTTTAAAAAAAAAAAAAAATACATATCACTCATCATGCTGTCTGTCGGGGAAAAAATGATGGCAACCAAAAAAATCTGCATTTAACTGGTTTGAACAAGAGTTGAAAGACATGTCAAACATGTCTTCAGCAGTATCAAAGAAAAAGTCAGGACTCCCAGTGACCAAAATAGGCACAACTTTATTTTTTTTTCTTCCAAAACTGCTGCATAACAAACTAAAATCAATATGAAAACACACAATACAAAATAAAAATAACACTTCAGCATTGCTCACGATGAGAACAAACATTAGTTTGGGTTTTAATTTTGGATCTACAGTGAGTAAAAAAATGTCTAGACAGGAATCGCCTCATTCACAAGGTGGCATGTTGAGCTAGAAAAGCTCTGATTCTCTGCAGGAGCTCTTTCTTCACACTGTCTGGTACAAGTGCTGCACAGGAGAGAGAAAAGTTTTGACATGTCAGGTTACAGCGATACACACTATTATCTTTACACTTAGAATTATCAGAAAGTGTTGACACTGTGTATGATGTTGTTGTAGTGGATTGCATTATGTTGTAAGGCAGTTGCCTGTAAACCAGGAAGACGCACTATTAAGAGCACCAGTACAAAACAGCACCTCATATTACAGCTTCTAAATGTACCATAGAATACTATAGTCTGAACTGAACTAATACATAACACTATCTTTTTTAAAAACACAGGTCAGCCATTCCCTGTATATGTTTACAGTGTAGCATCTGTGTCCTTGAAGCTCTTATTGAAAGACACTGGCATGTTGTGTAAGACATTATTCTTTCAGCAACTTCTGTAAAATCATACTTTATTTTTCTTAAGCACTTAATGATGAAGTGTACTGTGCTAATCAACTTTCACTGAGTAAGAATCTTCTGTTCAGCAACATGAGAGATGCACACCTGCCACATGTGGCCATTTGCAGTTAAGGAGGAGAGAAGACATTATTTATTTATTTATTGTTTTACATCTTTTTAAATAAAGAGAATGAATAAATAGTGGTTAAACAGCATTGTCACTACTTTTGAAACTCTTAAAGCCTCCTGTTTTTTTATGTAGATAAAAACAGTGGTGGAGGAAGTATTCAAATACTTAAATAAAAGTACTAATACCACAGTAAAAAAAACTTTGCTACTGGTAAAAGTCCGGCATTAAAAATAATACTTAATTAAAAATATGTAAGTAAAAACAGGAAAATGTATTTACGTTTTAAAGGTAGAAGTTCAAAATGAAAAAATGTTTTTAGCAATTAAATATTAAAAAAGGAAAGCAGCAAGTCTAAATATTTAAGAAGCTGGAACCATGAAATGTTTTTGCATGAAAACCGCACTTTTACATTGTCTGAAAGAAAAATCAAAAATTTTAATTTTTTTAAGTACCTTGTAACTAAAGTTATCAAGTAATTATAGTGGCATTAAAAGTAAAATATTTCCCTCTGTGTAGAGGAGTAGAAGTAGAAAGTGGCATGAGATTTAAATACTCAAATAAAGTAAAAGTACAAACAGCTGCTTTCAAAATAACGAAAACACAGTAATGCTTTGTCTCAGGTGATTATAAACTGATGAAAACAAAGTTATGGATATCATATTCTATTTCTGCCAGTAGAATCCCCTAAATCCTACACACTGGGCGTTTGAGTTTAGAGAAATCTGTCTGTCTCACAGTATCACATAGCTTATTTCAGCTCTTCATGAAAGCCATATCAATATGAATATATGTGAATATGAATTAAATGTTCAAAGCAAAGACTACATATCTCTTATGGCTTTACTATATTATCACATGGAAATATCTCATATTTCTGATTTTACTATTGTATTTACACCCTTTATTATTTGTTAATGATTCGTTTTGTAGCTAGTATTCTTGTTTTTCTTCCATTACTTAGCAGTTGAATTTCTCTGTGTGGGATCATTAAAGCTGATCATATCTCATCAATTCCAACAAATTATTCTAGATGTTTTGGGCATTATTTCTCCCACATGTCATCAGAAGTTGGCATCTTTAGAAACTTTGGGATCTTCACTTGAAAATAAAATATAGTTCTGTTGTTTAAACATGAAGTTTGAGTCTGTGAGATCAGAAGTTTTCTCTGACTGACCCTGCAAGTGTTTTTTGAGCAGATTATACACAAAACTGGATTAAGCACATTTACAGCGCAACTTCTTAAGTGTGACTATTATTTCTGTACTTCTTCCACCCCCTGCTGTTGTGTTTGCACATGAAAGTCTGTACCTCTGCCTTTTGGTGTGACTTCTGTGACCAGGTCCTCCACTGTGACATGCTCCAGACCCTTTTCTTTTATCACATCTGCAAAAAATAATTCATCAATAATCCTGGTTCGTGGTGGCACCGTTACACCGACACCGACAAACTCACACATACAATACCTTTGCAGTGTGCTTTCAGCTGATCCTTCCATCCACACTCCACCAGCTTTGCCCTGAGCAACTCTTTCAACCTGTGGCCACACATTTACAATTAGCTGACATTACTAAGGCGTCTAAATAGCCTCTGGTGTCTCTAAAGCATTCATAAATAAGCTCAGTGAAGACAGAAGCTTGACTCACCGCTCCCGTTCCCCCATCTCTATCAGCTTTTGGTTAATTGCAGCCCTCATCTGGGAGTCTTTGCTCATGATCTGTCTCAAATCACACACAAATGTTAACAGTTTCCGGTTTGAATTCAACGATTTCAGGGGAATGTGGCAACAAAAATATTTTATTTTGCGGGCTACAGGGTAGATGTTACCTTTTGTCGAGATGGATCAGCTGGGGTACACACAGTTCCTTCACACAGCCGTGCCGTCTGAAACCGTCAAAAGCCTAATGGTTCCGCTTTGGCAGCCGCGAATTTGTACGAACCGACTACAGCATCACTAAAACAAAAAACTGGTCAGATAGCGCACTTTAGCTTCATACAAACGCTTATTTTGACTTAATGGCTTAATAAAAACATGAAACTCTTTAAGAGAAAACACAAGAACTCAACCTCCCATGAGCGTCCGGGCAGCTCATGTCCGCTGGAAAAATGGGTCCGTGTGCTCCAAAGCAGGAAGTGCATGTCTTGCTGACTTTTGCATGCTTCACAACAACTTGTGTACAAGCCTGGCACATTTTAAGGACATGGCTGCGTCAAATTATTCCCTGAAGGTCAACAGAGAGCTTCTGGACCCCAACTTTGAAAGTTACAGGTTATCCCTTGACGCCATACCAACGTACAATGTTGAGCTGGATGCTGGTGAGACAAACTAACTTAACTTACAGTACAGTTAGCAATTGTGCTAGCATAGCATTGATGCCACACAGAAAGCTCTGATTTATCACTTCAGTCACAGCTGTAAGCAAACATAAGTAATTAAATGAGTTATTTTAATTTACAGGTGTAATTGAAAACGTCCATTTGTTATGCAAAATAGTAGTAATGGCATTAAAGCTGCCCTAGCTGAACTCCAGACTTAAAGCTTGTGGGTTCAGAGGGTCCTTAAGAAAATGAGGAGTGGTTCAACATACTTTTATTTTGTATTCACTGCAGATTAGGCCTATCTGCGCACCGTAAGTAACAGTGACGTTAGTGATGATTCCAACGTTTTATCTTAGTCCGGGGTGTCAAACTCATTTTAGTTCAGAGGCCACATTCAGCCTAATTTCATCTCAAGTCGGCTGGACCAGTAAAACCATTGCATGATAACATTTAAATAAAAACACTTCCAATTTCTTTTCTTTCTTTTAGTGTAAAGAAGTACATTCTGAAAACGTCCATCCAATTACAAATCATATCAAGAACAGTTTGACATGTCTTAAGAAAAATAAGCAAGCGTTTCTCAGTTTTTCCACATATAGACAGTCTATTACTCACTGTCATTACATGAGCATTTTTCCATACATTTCCACTCCTGCTTAATAATGCTAGCATCACCACACCAAACTAAAGTGGTAGCTACTGAGAAAGCGGGTTAAGTTATCCCCAGCCTTTCAATCAATTTACAAATCTAAAGTTTCGGCAGTGCCTTAGCAATGAGGTTTCACCATTATTGTTTTAAGGTTAAGTCTGATACAGATTCTTTAGTGCTGGAGCCGCTTAATGACAATATTTGCATAATGTTTAGTGTCTTTACAAATGAGTGCGAGTATTCTTTGTTTTTTCAGAGTCTTGTATCCTGGTCAGGGTAGAAAAGCCTCTGAAGCAGCATATTACATGAAATAGGCTACTCGCTGTTTAACTAGCTGTCTACTGCAAGTAGTGTTTGTCAGTAAAGAATTTATGTTGTCCACAATGTGAAAAAATATCTTGGCTTCAACACATGTCATAAAAAATAACTTACAATGAGAGCATATATGCAATTATTAAATAGAATTAGAAAACAGAGGGACTGGTTGTAAGATGTAGTTTCAGAAAGAGGCATATGGAGAATATGCATTTAATATTTTAATTGCATTTGGTAGGAATGACTAGCTGTGATTAATACTGGTGGCTTTTACTTGTCTATAATACCTCACTCAGAGTTATAAACGTCCAATATATAAAACACACAAAAACTAGTTAAGTTAAAAATCTCATAAAATTGATATTTTATAAATTTAGAGAGGACTAGAGAGAAATTGTACGCTTAGAAAAATCTAATCAGAAAATTAAATAATGATATGGAGGGATTTGCTGGTATGTTATTACTTCCACATTAGCTACAACTCCAGAAATCAATCTTTTGGGGGCATTTCTGCTTTATTATGATAGTGAGAGATAGACAGAAAAGGAGGGGCTAAAAGAGGGACTGATATGCAGCAAAGGGCCCAGGCTGTACTGGAATCTGGGCCACTGCAGTAAGGATTCAACCTTCATTGTATGCGTTCTGCCCAGTGAAGTACTAACAGATTCTCTGTCATCCTTATCTCATGTTAATTAAGTGGTTCTTAAACCTTTTTCTGTTGCTGATATGACTTAATAAGTGACTCACAAAAATTACCAAAAATAATTTTACAGTCTGCTACCTATTAACCAAAAGATGCCATTGGACTGACACTGAGATCAAAGTAGATGGAGGCAGGTATCAATGATAATGTTCTTGTATCCCGTCAATCTGTAACAGTAGTTTTTGTAATCTCACTCATTCAGTGCTTTTAGAAAATTTTATTAAAACAAAAGATGTACATGACCAGGTGCTGTCTCATTTTTATGTCTTTTTTTTTACCTTTTGCTTTTCCATCTTTACTGCAGCGGTGGAGGAAGTGAAGTTGAAGGATACCCAGTACACCCTGGAACATATGCGTGCTTTTGGAATGTACAATTACCTCCACTTAGATCCTTGGTATGAAGACAGTGTTTTGTTTTTGGACTGCAAAGGAAGGGTGCTCAGTCTCACCGTCACCCTGGTAAGCTTTAAATTCTGTTGTTTTTTTTGTGGAAGTCCTTGTTCTGGTAACTTTAGCTTTTGTTCTGTTGTTACCTAGTTGCCAATGTATCCCTCCACCCATGTCTGTGAAGCAAAATCCTTTATATTCACTCTTCATGTAGAATAAGAATTGTGATTGTTCTTATAATGTTGTGATAGTGGAATTGTTGGCAGGCTTTAATGAAACTGACACACCAGCAGGTGGTGACCAAACACTTGTGTAAAAGCAGCATCAGCCCATGATACATTTCTGCCAGGTGATGTCAAGACAAAATTATCCTTGAAAAATTTCCACAATATTAACATTTTTACAAGCTGCAATATTAAAGTGACTTATTATAATTTCCCTCACTTGCTGTTCTCTTGCTCAATTAGAAACAATTAAAGAGGAAGTTTGAAAGTCTAAATTTTCAGGCAAAAACACAACTTTTTATTCCATCTTTTGTCCATCGCGTCAATAATCACAGGAAATAAAGTTTTGGATGAACCCTTGTTTGTCTGTGGTTAATCACAGGAGTGATAACATAATTAACTTAAGGTACTGATCTAGGTTTGTCATCCAATACCAAGAAGCTGAGACGAGGAGCAAAATCAGCACAGTGACCTTTTCAGCAGAGACTTCTTTTATGTCGAAGACATCATTGAATATAATGAGAGATAATTGGTGCCACATCAGTGTTTTTAACATCAGAACTGGCATGAATGATGATCATCAGGCTATAATCCTGTGGGACAGTATTTCTGGCTTTCAGTGGCATCATAAAATTACTCTTTATAAAAATGTGTTGCTGGGATTTTAATTACAATGATAATAATAATAATAATTACATGATAATTATCGTCCCCGACAAGCCCCTTTTGCGTACATTTGCAGGGAAGTGTCACCCAGCACATTGTACATAGGCGGTTCACATTATGTTCTGGGCATTAACATCACAGATGCTGGAGAAAATGATCTCAAAGGTGCATCATACATCGGATAGCGATATAATACGCAGTGTCACGCTCCATGGCAACAACAGGGCAGCTGGTGCATAGTCCTTTTGAGACACTGTTACTTCACGCAATGAGTAATTGATGCTCATGTGGTGGCATATCTGTCTATTACTAATAAGGCTCTGAGAGTCGTGAATCACATGTGAATCCAAGTCACGTGGGCAGCCACACAACAGCTGGTATCTTTGGCTCTCCTGGATGAGTACATTTCATATTTTTCAGCTTTTATGTTTAAGGTATCTTTTTGTGGCCTTATACCATCATGTTTTGTTGTGTGTTTTCATATCAGATGTTAGTCGTGGAATTTTCTTAGGGTATTATAGTGCCCCATTCAATATGAAAGCAGTGACCTTTCTGTTCTTCTGTAGTTCAAAGCCTTCTCTTATTAAGTGTGTCTGTTTGTATCTTTGTGAGTCATGACTGGACTGCTTAAAGAATTTGGTAGCAGAGAGAACAGATTTGTCATCCATTTTACATTATTCAACAATTATTTTCATCAGTTTTTGTGTAATTTGCAATAAGGAAGAAACCCAAATCCAGTTTGTACCATTCCGATGCTTTTCTCCACCACTAGTTGAAAATTCCTTCTGGGGATCAATAATGTATTTCTGATTCTGATTCTGGAAGTGCAAAAATAGGGTTCTTTGGCTTGTTCCCATGGGAAAAACCTTTTTGGTTCTTGGTAGAACCTTTATAAAAGATAATCTTCCATACCCCTTTTCCACCAACACGGAATGGGTTCTGTATTGGTTACTGTATCTACAGTACAGGCCAAAAGTTTAGACACACCTTCTCATTCAATGCATTTTCTTTATTTTCATGACTATTTACATTGTAGATTCTCACTGAAGGCATCAAAACTATGAATGAACACATGTGGAGTTATGTACTTAACAAAAAAAGGTGAAATAACTGAAAACATGTTTTATATTCTAGTTTCTTCAAAATAGCCACCCTTTGCTCTGATTACTGCTTTGCACACTCTTGGCATTCTCTCCATGAGCTTCAAGAGGTAGTCACCTGAAATGGTTTCCACTTCACAGGTGTGCCTTATCAGGGTTAATTAGTGGAATTTCTTGCTTTATCAATGGGGTTGGGACCATCAGTTGTGTTGTGCAGAAGTCAGGTTAATACACAGCCAACAGCCCTATTGGACAGCTGTTAAAATTCATATTATGGCAAGAACCAATCAGCTAACTAAAGAAAAACGAGTGGCCATCATTACTTTAAGAAATGAAGGTCAGTCAGTCCGGAAAATTGCAAAAACTTTAAATGTGTCCCCAAGTGGAGTCGCAAAAACCATCAAGCGCTACAACGAAACTGGCACACATGAGGACCGACCCAGGAAAGGAAGACCAAGAGTCACCTCTGCTTCTGAGGATAAGTTCATCCGAGTCACCAGCCTCAGAAATTGCAAGTTAACAGCAGCTCAGATCAGAGACCAGATGAATGCCACACAGAGTTCTAGCAGCAGACCCATCTCTAGAACAACTGTTAAGAGGAGACTGCGCGAATCAGGCCTTCATGGTCAAATAGCTGCTAGCAAACCACTGCTAAGGAGAGGCAACAAGCACTTCCCACTGTGAAGCATGGAGGAGGAGGTGTGATGGTGTGGGGGTGTTTTGCTGGTGACACCGTTGGGGATTTATTCAAAATTGAAGGCACACTGAACCAGCATGGCTACCACAGCATCCTGCAGCGACATGCCATCCCATCCGGTTTGCGTTTAGTTGGACGATCATTTATTTTTCAACAGGACAATGACCCCAAACACACCTCCAGGCTGTGTAAGGGCTATTTGACCAAGAAGGAGAGTGATGGAGTGCTGCGGCAGATGACCTGGCCTCCACAGTCACCGGACCTGAACCCAATCGAGATGGTTTGGGGTGAGCTGGACCGCAGAGTGAAGGCAAAGGGGCCAACAAGTGCTAAACACCTCTGGGAACTCCTTCAAGACTGTTGGAAAACCATTTCAGGTGACTACCTCTTGAAGCTCATGGAGAGAATGCCAAGAGTGTGCAAAGCAGTAATCAGAGCAAAGGGTGGCTATTTTGAAGAAACTAGAATATAAAACATGTTTTCAGTTATTTCACCTTTTTTTGTTAAGTACATAACTCCACATGTGTTCATTCATAGTTTTGATGCCTTCAGTGAGAATCTACAATGTAAATAGTCATGAAAATAAAGAAAACGCATTGAATGAGAAGGTGTGTCCAAACTTTTGGCCTGTACTGTAATTATGAAATGTTCTGAGCATTTTGACCAAAAAGAAATTGGTTCAGAACTGGAAACTTTGGTTCCCAACTAGAACAAAAAGTGAACAGGTTTTTCTTAACCTGAAATTCGAACTGTGATGACATCCGTGGGCATGTCATATTCTACAAGTTGGATAGAGAGGATGGAGAACACTTGAGACGTTAAGTGAAAAATCATTGCTAAAAAGAGCATGCATTGGTCTTAATTGTTGGTCCATGCTTGTTTTTTGATAAAGAAAATATCTGTATTAAAAGAACACAACCTCACGGGTAATCAATGTGATCTGGCATCTTACTACTACAGTTTACTTCCATTGTGCACAAAAGTAGTTTATTAGCCTTATGATTTTATTCTACATGTCATCAACATTCAGCCTGCTGATGTGTTGTGACCTCCAGCAAGAAAGGTGCTTATTTTCTATTCATTATTCTATTGGCCATTAGTATTACACTTGTCTAAGCAAGCTAATTTTATATTAGAAACACAGCATTGTAGACTATGCATTGACATACATGCTACAGTGACTTTTATCACCTTTACCTTTTTTTTTTTTTCTTTTTTTTTTACACAATAACCATGAAATAGCCTTGTGAAATATCAGGAAAGCCAATGCCTAACACCCACAAAAGGGATTTAACAGAGAACCTTTTATATATTCAGCAGTTTCATCTAGAGCCTTAATAGTAACTAACAACATTACCGATAGATCTCTCTCCCATTAATTATAGTTTTAGTTTAAATGGTTAGCCTGGAGCTGGTGTGGTCTTGCACAATCCGCAACACTCATGGTTCATAATCCCATTTCTAGGGGGTGGAAAATTTATGAAATCCCTACTACTACAGCCTTTACTATTTCAATAGAGCAGTAAGGTTGGGAACCAAAATGCGGTTCCAGTTTAGAACTGAAAACAAAACCCCAAGTAGCAGGTACCCACTTCAAAAAAAGAAAAATAATTTTGGCGGACCATGTGTGTTTATGTCATGAAATGATGGTAAAGTTCAAGATCAACTAGCAGAACACAAGTAAAATTAATGTATTAAGTGTATTTCAGATACACCTACATTTAGAAATATCATTTGAAACATTTGAATGTTTGAGGGTGAGGATCTCAACAATCGGTTGTTTGGGTAAAAAGGGTCATTACTGAAACCCTTAGATTTACAAAGAACGCTTGAAGAACCCTTTCTTGAGAAAAGGGTTCTTCGAAAGCAATAGGTTCTTGGTAGAGCCTTAGCCCTTCAGGAACAACTCTTTTGGAACTCTTATTTCTAAAAAATCAATAAAAGCAATTTAAAGATGTTGTCTTGGGCTTTGGGAAATTGTGATGTGTGCGTATTTAATTATTTTTTGATATTCCATAAAGCAAAGGAATAATCATAATCAAGAAAATAATTGTTACTTAATCTAATTTACTCTCTGCACATATGACTAAATCAAACACAGTTTAGGTATATGTCGAGACTATTTTATCTGTCTGTTGTCTGGATGCAGCACTAATTGATGTATCTTTGTGTTGTGAATCCAGGATACTGCCCTGGGGAAGCCAAGAGAGGTTTACCGTATAACCTCTGACTCCAGCCAGTGTGAGGATCGTATTTGTGCTTCCCTCAGCCTCACCTCAGCGACCTGGGCGGCTCTCTCTGACGGTGCTGGCCAACTGTACCTTCTCCGCACTGGCAAGAGGGGAGACAGCTCCAATATGAAGTGGGAAGTAAGTATAACTTTTTAACTATTTGAAGTAATACACAAATATATTTCAAACAATTTTGCGTGTTTTCCACTACATCTGTGATAGGGTATGAGGTATAGCAGTTGCAATGTAATCTAATTATGTCATATCAAAGGGCAATAACAAATCCATGGCCTTTTATCGACCTCTTATGGTAACTAAATGGGAGTGCAACAACAGGGAACAAGAACAAGATTGAACAAACTACTTTGTACAAAAATCCCTCGTATCTGCATGAATACGCCTTAAGTTTGAATAATTCTAAATCTGACACAGTTTCACAAAAGACACAAGTAGTTAAGCAGAGATCCTGCATACTGTATGTTAAAGGGGAGATGTAACCTTGTACTACTGTAATACTGCTGCTTCATCATTGTCTATTTTTACATAAAAATGCAGCACAAAAACTGAACTACGAAATAAGGTCACCAGCCCTCTCACATATCCCACTGTCTGAAAGTTAACTAGCTGCTAGCTAGCTAGCATATTATCTTCATCGTCACTTACATTGTACTCACCAGACAAATTCGTTGCGCTGCTCACACAGCTCCATGTGTGTCTCCTCCTGTGTTTGTTCGAGTACTGAGGTGTGCGTGTGTTGTATAATTCTTCAAAATCAAATATTGTCAGGATAAATTTTTCGTCTTCGGATTGCATTGTATTGTTTGTCGCTTGTAACTGCCGTAAACTGCTGTAACTGCCACAACAAAACAGGAAGGAGGAGGATTTGATTGGCTGCCTGGGCCAATGATGACAATCACGAATGGTGCTACTGGCACCTGACGCTCAAAAAGTTGAAAATATTTTAACTTTTCAGTGTCTACGCGCGTCTAAAAACGCGCGTCTATAAAAACACGCGTCTATAAAAACGCGTCTAAAAAGACGTCAGAAAAACGCCCGTCTAAAAAGACACTTGAACGCCGGTCAGATGCACCATATCATAGGAAAACAATGGTTTTACTGCCGTTGCGTTTCTAGCGTCTCATTTCTGTGTGATCGCCCCCTAATAGCGTCCTGAGCAGAGAATTAAGTCACGCTCCCTCTATGTGTGTTCCGAGCTTCTCTGTTCATTGTTGTGGCAGATGGTCTGGTTGTGCATGCATGTCAGTGCATGTGTAAGTCTCTGTGTTTGTGTACCATTGGCTAGCTGCTCACTGCCGCTAGCATAGCGCCCTCCCTCCAGTTTTCCTCTCGGTTAACACTGTTAGCTCTGTCAGCACTGTTGCCGTTGTTAGTGCTGTTAAGGAAATTAGCACTGTTACAGACTCTTAATCATAGATATGCTCTGAATGTTGCATAAAGCTTCTTAGAGCCAAGAGGGCGAGATTGTTGATGTTCTGAATGTCAGGAAAGTGAGTGGTCAAAGCCAGATATCTAAGCAACTAGTGATTTAATGTTTGAGTCACCAAATAACACCATCAAAGTCCCCCAGTAGCTGTATCTATTCCAGCAGGCACTTTTGCTGGTCAGAAGCAAACGTTTGATATTTGTCTCAATTCTAGAAGTCTTAGATGGCTGCCTGGTAAAATAGTTGAAGAATAAGACTTGTGATATTTTAAATTTTTCTAAATGTCACATTGTTAATGAGCCACACTGTTGTACTATGTGACATGCTGCTCCTTTATTATGATGAAAACAGGCACTGTCATTTAATACGCGTCCATCATACACATGTGTTACATACTCACCGCCATAAATACTGACCAAATGTGTATTAAAGGTGTGTATGATTATTATATTGGCAGAAATAGAATTTAATGTAATGAGTATGTTGTCTTTTGTGTATATTCACCTCAAAATAAGAGTTGTGGTGTTTTCATTACCTTAGAATGAGCCGTTTAAGGGAGCGGGTCCTTATATGTGGAGGTTGCAATGTTGCATTGCCATGTTTCTACAGTAGCCCAGAATGGACAAACCAAACACTGGCTTTAGATAGGGCCATTTTTTCAGGTTGGCCACCGGAGTTAGCAGCCACTCCGCAGTGAGCAGTATTGGAAACACACATGAGCTCACATGACCAGGTGCTAGGCTAGCGCCCTGTCTGCAACATGCACAACAGCATTGGAGAAACACTGATTTGTAATGTGAAACTGCATTATTTAGTGTTTTCACAAGTTTAAATCACCTGGTCTGTTTGTTTTGGAGAGAAAGAGCCCTCTGCAGATAATTCGGCTTCTGGTTAAAATCTCCTGAAAAGCGAAAAGGGTAGCACACATTCAGTTATCAGAGAAAAAAGAAGAGCACACATTTGTAGGTGCTGGGCTAGCGGCTCATCTCCAAAGAGCTGAACAGAAAAGAGGAAACTCTTATATTAATTCCTTCAGTGAACACTATGGGAATCCTAACTGGGAGAAGTTTCAGCTGGTTGCAATCTGCAGTCCTCACTGCTAGATGCCACTAAATCTTACACACATCTTCATTAATCTATAACTGAAAATAGTCACCAAAGAATGCACTATTAACTCCTGATTGTGTAGCATTTAATAAAGATAACAGTGCTCAGCTGTTTTGGAATAATACTGAGTCTTTTTCCAAAATGAGACCACATATTTAAAGATGAAAGATTAAGTTAACCAGTAAACTTGGGCCTGAGTGCTGCAGACCGGGTAGGTAGGTTGGAAAGTATAAAGAGACAGACTAACAAACTGTTGTTGGTTTTAGTCACGTAAAAGAAACCTTATTCTGTGACCTGGCATGTACTATATATTCCTTATCTAGAGAAAAAAGAATAAATAGTAGTTGTATGCAAAATGTAAAGGACTGCATGTGTAGCATATTTTAATGAAGAAGCATTTAAAGGTATTAGAAAAAAAGATACCAAGATGCCAAAAGTCATGTTAAGAAATTAGGAGTGTTCAATGTGATGGGAGTAGCTGAAAGAAGTAGTATAGCCTTTAAAGGCTCGCTTGTCATTATTAAATGTCCTGTTATTCAGCATATAAACTTCTCAAAAGAAGCATTTTTTGAATTGTTATGTAAATTCAAGCTTTCTGTCTAAAAAGCTTAGCTGGCGTTTGGAAATTGGCTTATAGCAGTGAGGGATGAGGTCTTTGAAAAGATGAGTCTTTGTGCACTTTATCCTGTTAACAGGCTGCATTTGGGATTGGCCACAAATGAGAGTTCACTCTCTGAACAAGCACACTTGATGCAATTCTGAAAGCAAAGTTCAAGAGTGGCATTTGTAATGAAGATCTAAGCCCTTGAGTCAGTAACTTCCAATGTTCTAATTTTAAGTTTGAGCACTCAGGGATCCTTGATCCTTGAATCTGTCATTTTGGTTTGTGTGTGTGTTGTGAGGATACTGGTAATAAACAGACTTATTAACCAGGTCATTTTATGCAGTCACAGTAAAGTCAGGCTTCTCAGCATCACATCAGCTTCTTCAACCAGACAACTGAAGACATTGATTTAGAAATACTGGTGTGAATTAGCATTTTATTGATTGAATAAAGACAAATCTCTCTTTTCTAAAGCACAGTGTAGACTAAAGCTCATTTGATGCAACGCGTCAATGCTGAGGCCTTCATTAATGCATCTTTTACAGCATAAAACGATGATGCAGGGATATATCCTAATTTTCTAGTATTGAATTAAAGGCTATTCTAAATTCTGAGTTGTATATCCAGTTGCACTGACACCTCCTCTAAACTTTTCACAAGCTTTAAATTTCATATTTGGGTAACAGTTAGTTATAAAGGGGTAATAAGGAGCGCTCCTTGATGAAGTCAAATTAAGTTTATTTATAACACAGTTTAAGAACAGCCAGACATCTAAAATGCTTCTAACAGTAAAAAAGAGAGAGTACAGAAACTGACAAATGACATAAAGACAATGACAAAACACATACTGGTACCTAAAACTCATAGAAAGAATAAAAAGAAAAAGTAATATGGCACTATATATATATTTTTTTTAGATTTTTGTAGCAGACGTGCAGCTTCATTTTGCACCAGCTCAAGGTGTGACAGAGTCATCTGACTGAGTCTGAAATATAGTGCATTGTGATAGTCCAGACAGGAAGACATTAAAAGCATGGATTTTGACTCTTAAAGTCTTAAAGAAAACATGTGCTTCACCTTTCTTCAAAAACTCTTAGATGGTAAAAAGACTGTTTAACAACAACATTTATGTTTTATTCAAATCCAATTTATTACTAGGTCAAATAAAACCTATGTCAAGATTCTTAGTGAAGCGTTTGACATAACTAGAGAGCTAGTTTCTAAGAATCAGAATGATATTGTTCACTCAGCTGCATCTGGGCCTTTTCTTTAATTTTACTAGCTATATTTACTGTTTTCTGTATTTTAGCTAGATTATTTTAGGTGAGGTGATCCATCACCCTGACATGGTGATCAGCTATCTTATTTCATGCTATATAGCCAGTTTTTCTTCTATTAATTCCAAATGAAGCATTATTAATCTGTCCTATGAACTGATTAATTGCGTTGGCTTTGAAACGTTAAAAAATAGTGAAAAAATTGACATCATCAGACATTTTTTTCTGCGTTGAACAGTGGTTAAAAATCTAAACATACTCATTTTACAACAATATAAAACAGAGAAAAGCAGCAAATCTTGCCATTTAAAAAAATGGAACTCATGACTGGGTTAAGCTTGCCTCATCTCCCCTGCCCCAGGAGCGTTTTCATAATTGTTTTTAAATTTAAATCCTTCATCTGAATGCCTAGTTTCTTTTTTATCTTGACCTTCCAGTCTGCCTAAGCTTTCACCATTCTTCAAGCTGATGCTCCATCACGATGGTCATTCACCTCTTCCTGACCCTTCTAACTCTGTCTGGTTGTCATAAAATGCATAAATTCCGTTGGGCCAGCTCGGGAAAGTCTCCACACACCCTAACTTCAGTATACTGCAAAATACAAAGAGCTTTCTCTGGTGGCGATAGGCTTAATCAACATCGTGTGAACTTGTTTGGCGAGGGCTTAAAATGCAACGAACATTGATTTACGTGTGGAAGTCCCACACTCTAGCTTTATTCATATGTAGAAATTGTTAGTGATATATTGGCTAATCGTTTAGTGAACTTGGTATGAGCTGAATGTCTATTAATTTTTCATTACTTTGTTAAACACTACCACATCTGCCTTTTGCTTGTATGAAAACTAGAATGCCAGCCAACAGATTTTGCCCACTGTTAAGTGTATCCTGTAGAAATGATTGTATTTGTTGATTCTGTGCCCGTAGCCACTGTTCAGTGAAGACATGGGGGAGCCTTTTACCATCCTCCACAGCATCTCACATGTCCAGAATGGAGTCCATACCATGGAGCTCCTGCTGCTCCGCATCCTTAAAGACCCGCAGGAAACCAAAGGAAGTGGATACTCAGTGTCTCTTGAGTGGATCACAGTTGCCAACACAGCAGGACATGGTGGGTGGTGCACTGGCCTATCATAATTTTAGCAATTCAGCATGAAGTAAAATGACACAAGACAAGCGTGCCATACATAATTAGGTTGGAATTAGGATTTGAGTTTCAAGCCTGTTATTTCATTTTCATGTTAATTTTACAGTATTTGAACCCAGCAGACGACTGAAATCCTTGATAATTAAACCATAGTAGGAAGTTAGTCATGGTTTTCCATTAATGCGGTTTAATTATTATATCCCAGATGAGATTAGTGTACTCTAAAGCAAACATTGGCAAGAAGAATTTTCATTAAAGTTCCTGGCAATTGCTGAGAAAGAAAGGCACCCTAACTAATGATTCATAGACAAAAAAAAACTGAAGCAGCCTTTGGAGAGTGCCTCCCTCATTAAGTTGGATTTAAAGATGTAGCTCTTTGATATCCGCAATCTGTAGAATAATCTTTTGTTGTTTGTTTAGTGTCTCAGTGTTTGACTAAATCTACATTTTGTTAACAATAATAAGCTATGCCTTGGCTTCTTTTTTAATCCATTATTACAAATTTATCAGTAAGAATAGTTTGTTATTACTGTAGAGGAGAATCTGAGTCTCCACATCAATTTTATCCTTCGATATGTTTTAATTTAAAGTATCACCAATATTATCATTGTCAATATGCCCATGTAGAGTATTCTTAAGATGTTAAATCAATGTTTGCACACATGAACAACAGAAAATGCTTTTTCCTGTAATATTATGAAAAGCTTTTCCCTTACCAGACACTGAGTTGACAAGGGGTTTTGTGAATGTTTGCATGAAGTTTATGTACCGTTTTTCAGTTGGTATACGCCCAAAAATGTGCTGTCCTGTTACTGTGTGCACTGGTTTTGGAGTGTCAGCTCAGCAGCTGTTAAAGGAACATCAAGAGTCCGATATCTTTTGTGTCTCACATCAGGAGAACATGTCATGGAGTGAACTGAGCTTTATAATGAGAAAGATGTCATTAACTTTCTAAAATATAGAGGATACGGTCTGTGTAATGTGAAGTTATTTAAGGGTAACTTTGGTGTTTTTTTTTCAACCTGGACCCTTTTCCTGTGTTTTTGTGTCTTAAATGACTAATGGAAACAACAATTTTTAAAATTGGTCCAGTACTAAGTGACATTGCTTCAGCAGTGGCCAAACAGGCTGCAGTGTAATCACTTCAGGCAATTATGCTTCATCAATTTATGTCCACTAAAAGTGTTTGATTGTGCCACTGACATTTTCAAAATATTATTCCAACTGTCTGACAACATTATGGAAACGATCTCTACAGAGAAAGACCTTTTTGTTTAAAGGGAAATTTCAGTTTATTTCAACCCGTCTCCTATCGTCCTAAATTTGTTTCAAGTCACTAGTGACATAGAAATAAGTTAGTATGTTAGCCGTTAGCCTAGATGCAGCCGTAGCATCAGACCTGTTAAAACTTAATTGAACGGGCATCCTTTCAAGTGCAAAGTTAGTCCACTAAACAAGCTTTTTCTCCACAAAGACCGCCTCATATCATTAGGATAAATGTCAGAGAACATATAGAAAACGACATGTAAACGTGTTCTCTTACCTTACTGGTGTAGTGCCATGTTTGTTGTTTACCATTTAGCTAAGGCTGCAACCAGTCCCATTCCTTGCAACAGAGGTATTCCTCTTCTGTGGGCATTGGGGTACAGCATTCACAGGTAACGTTACACCACCGATCTCCAGAGCTAAAGCCTTGCAGCAGCCATTCCTCCTCTGTCGTCCTCTAACGTTACCTGTTGCGCCCCAATGCCCACAGAAGAGGAATACCTCTGTTGCAAGGAATGGGACCGGTTGCAGCCTTAGCTAAATGGTAAACAAACATGGCACCACACCGGTAAGGTAAGACAACACGTTTACATGTCGTTTTCTATATGTTCTCTGACATTTATCCTAACAATATGAGGCGGTCTTTGTGGGGAAAAAGCTTGTTTAGCGGACTAACTTTGCACTTGAAAGGATGCCCGTTCAATTAAGTTTTAACAGGTCTGACGCTACTATGCTATCTAGGCTAATGGCTAACATGCTAACTATTATTTCTATGTCACTAGTGACTTGAAACAAATTTAGGACGATAGGAGACGGGTTGAAATAAACCGAAATTTCCCTTTAAGCGTAAGATCATTTTTGTTAAAAAAAAAATAAGTCCCAAAACTGCCATCACCAAACCCACCAGACTCCATTTAAATAAACAGTAATTTTAGCATGTATAGAGCCAGCATGTATTCACATCTAACTGGGTGAATGAAGCTTTTATTTCAACCAAACCAGAGTTGATGTTTCTTGAAACAGTAGAAACACAAACCAGATGTTTTTTTGTGAGTTTTAGTTTGTTTCTGTTGACTTTATATGGAGTGTGTTTCGCGATGATAAAATTAGTTAATGTAAAAGGAGGTTGGTGGATTTGATTGTGGTCGGGGTTTTTTTTCTCTGATTAAACAAAAAAGGATCTTACTTTTTAAACAAAAAAGTCTTTCTCTGTTGGAATCCTTTCCAGAGGGCAGAGTCTTTGCAGATAAATATAATGCCAACACTTCTAGTGGGTCATAAATGATGACTAAGAAGGTTTACTTTTGTTTAAGCCTATACACTGTTATTTTAGGAAGATCCTGCATAGTATGCCTTAAAAAATTAGTGTAAAAATGAACAAATGCTGATAGTTTTTTAAAGGACATTATAACATCTGACCATGGTAGACAAAATGTACTACTTTTTCAAATTGGATGTCTGTCTGTGGATTAGAAAAAATAAATAGTGAAATTTAGCATGGCAAGACTACAAATGTTCTCAAGTGGTACTTAAATAAATGGCAGATTAAATGATTAGTAAATGGTCAGAACATCAGTAGGTGGTAATTTTGATGGTTGATTAATTATGTAAGTAATTGACAGGTACAAATAAAAAAACTGAGAGGGAAGTGACTGAAGTGGCTCTCAAGTAAACATTGGCTGGTTTTAGACTCTTAAATGTAAAGGTCTCCAAAATCGACTTGCATGGGGATTTTAACATAACGACCAAAACAAGGAGTTTGAAGACATATTTAGACCAAAAGATGAGTTAAAAAACGGCTATTAGTTGCGGCCTAAATATGCAAATATGCAATGCTCTATACTGCCCTCTAGAGCATTGCAGTTTCCCTGTGCATTTCTCTTGAAGCCTTGCTATAATTAGCTATTAGCTACTTCAAACCACATGTTGTTCAAATAGATAATAGCTGATGGAATAAAAGAGTTGATATTTCTGTTGGGAGGTAAAACATCCACCCTGATAGAAGTGACTTGAACTCTTGGGAGTTCAGTAAAATAACCTTAGCTTTCTACATAGCTCCTACATGACACGTTGATGTAACTCCTCTTGGTCTCTGTCAGAGTTTAATGGAAGACAAGATTACTTTTCACCTTTTATCACTGTATCCTTTGGTTTCCACATGCAGGTCAGGAGAAGAAGTATGAGGTGAAGAAGAGGAGGGTCCTCAGAGGGAAGTCAGTGCCTCACTATGCAGCAGTGGAGCCGCAGGGGAAGGGCCTGATGGTGGCCGCGGAAAAACCATTTGCCTTCACACATGTGGACGGTCAGCCTGTGGAGCTGCCTGACCCAGAGTCTATGGAGGTGGACAAGACAGGTGTGTCAGAGGTGCTGCTGAGGAATCATCCAGCACACTTCTAGAAAGTTATTATTGTGCTTAAGGATTTCTCCTCTCTACACCAGAACTCTTACAGATATTTAATACTTTAAAAAACATTATTTAGCCACTTCCTGTTATTGATGTTAGAAAACAAAGTAGGGTTTCTGCAGGTACTTAAAAAGTCTTAAAGTATTAAATTCAGTTACCGGTACATAAATATTAGGCCTTAAAAGTCAAAGTAAAGGCTTAAATTTGACTTTGTAATATCTTAATTTCCACATTTGATGTCATTTCATTTATCTATCTATTTTATTTTTGGCAAAATTAGTCAAGTTCTTTTGTGTGAAGTTCCACATGTCTGATGTTACACATCTTTAAACCTACCTCTGAATCTAAAACTGTCTTTTTACTTAATACTTGCACTTACCTATTGGCAAAATGTGCATTAACCTAACTTACTCTAATAACCATAAAACCTACCTCTGCACAGGACCACATATTAACTAACCACTTACCTTTATACTTTCCTGCAATGCTTGAATAAGAAAAAGAAGATTTGTCATAAATAAAAGAAACAGTTAAATTTAAGAGTCTGATACATGTAGGCATCCTGCAAAGTTCTCCAAAAAACTTAAGTGAATTCATTTTAAAGCTGCTATAATTCTTTTTTGCATCTGGAGCTAACGCATCTCCAAGTTAAAAACACTCGCTCTGACACACTGTCATTTTATAAAGTTGTTATGGGCACTGTGTTTACTATTAACACATTAAAGCAGCTGTGCGGAACTTTTTACCATTAATAAAACTGTCCCTAGTCCGTATCTCCCCCCCCCTTGAAGATCCGCATATTTATTTGAACCCAACAGCGACAAAAAAGCCTTTCTCTATATGGCTATTTAGCGTAGCCTTGCTCGGGTCGGACACACAGCGGAAGTCAGCAAACCAGAATACGGCACCCGAGGTGGAAGTGATTCTGCTCGCCTGCAGCGGCCCGCAGCGATTAAACCACAGAGGAAGAAGGAGCCGTGTTTACAGTGTTCTTCAAGTAAGCAGTACGCAACGGGCATTGCTGAACACATAACACCTAACAGTTTTACCAGAGATGTATCTATGAGGACATGGTTGTACTTTTGATGTCATGGCGGATAACGAAGGAGCATCATGTAAAATTATCTGTGATTGTGACCATAAACATAAATATACAGCAGGGAGTTGTCCTCAGTTTATAAGAAATTCAGAGCTACACCAGAACATTTATGAACAGGTCTTACTTTACTACTAATTTGTGTGTAACGTTAGCATGTTAGCATGTTTCCACTAATTACTTGGACTGACCTAACATTTGTAGCGTTAGCTTTGCAAGCGAAGGCTACAGGTAACAGCTTTGCTGTGTTAGGATTATGTTATGTCTTCACTGTGTATCTTCACATAAAAGAATACTCTGACGATTTGAGAGTTATGCCCTTTCGCTATCATTTTCACATTGAGACAACATGATCGATATCTTTTTTGTGTCTGTACGTCCAGTGGCTGGGTCTCAGCGGTTAGCATTGCGCTTATAGGGGGTCAGTACGTCCTGCGCTGTGATCCGCGGAGGGATACACCGGTGAGCAGGCACAGACGTAGCTTGTAGACAAAACTCAGCTGTTTATTTAGCCTAGCGATATCTCCGCACTATAGTAGCTGCAATGGACGACTTTGATTTTGAAGAGTTTCTTGTAGCGGACACAGATCCAGAGCCATACCTGTTTGAGCCGGAGTACAATGATGAGGAACTCCATGTGTTGGATGCTGAGCAGGCGAGAAGAGAGGCTGAATCCTCCACTCCCATTTTGCTGCACAGAATGGGATTCGGTGCTACCATCGTTGGGGAGATATATCATCAGGAGGAAAAGCGCCGCAGAGAGTGCATCACAAGGAGTGAAAACTTTGCAGCAGTCACTAATCCTGGCGTGATTGAAACTTTTTTTCATGTTCCTAAGATGAACTGGAAAAAACGCCCTAGGCCTGCAGGAGCTGATGGACAGCTTTCAGTCGGGTGAGTAATATCATCCGTGTCGTCTCTTTGTTTGCTTTTACTGAGTGACCTAGTACCTGTCCCAGAGCCAGCTGCAGTTGTTGCTCACCGGGTGTACTGACCCCCTACAAGTGCCAAGATATCCATCATGTTGTCTCAATATGAAAATGATAGAGAAAGGGCATAACTCCCAAATCGTATTCGAGTTCGAGTATTCTTTTCACATAATAATGCAGACTCAGCAGATGACTTGTTAACTGTTTATTCCTCCTTACACTGAACGTACACGGCTGCTTCTCATTGTTTCCAGTAGCACAACAACGGTTACTACATTACCCAGAATAACTTGAGGCTCACACTACTACGGTAGCCTTAGTAGCTCAAAATACACAACAGATTAGATTAGATCAGAACAGAAACACGACAGGAGAATTAACTGAGTAATTTTGCTGTTTCCACTAATTACTTGGACTGACCTGACGTTAGTTAATTCTCTCACTCTCCAAAACAAATGCATGCTGTAATTGCCGGCTGCAGTCGGAATTTTAGGACACCAGGCTGTGGGTGTCATACCGCTTCGACCAAAGGGGCGCTATAATCAACGAAAACGAAAAGTTCTGCACAGCTGCTTTAAGCAGATGCTGAACAATATTATCATTCATCTAGAATCACGTTTCTTGCCTTCTGACAAAGGCCACCTTTCAATCTCCTGTTAGCTCTATTTTGGTCTCCACCAACTCTTGGAAAAATGTCGGAATCTTTTGCAGCTACATGTTCCACTTCCTTCACCAGCTACATGCTAACTTTGTCTGTCCAGCGTTTGGTTCTGGGTAGCGAGTTGACATCAGGGTTTAAAATTATTTTTATTTTTTTTTCTGACAGCAGCTGGCTGCTTCTGTTAATGGAGTTAATGAAAGCAGAATTTACAGTCAATAAAACCTTGACAATGAGCTAAAAGAGGCCAAAAGGCCTTGTAGAGCTGCAGGGATTGGTGATAATTCCCTGTGGTCGTCACTACAAATGCCCAATTCAATTTTACACATTTTCATTTGAGCCATTGTTATAGAAACACTGATAAGTATGTTGTTAACAAAAATGTTGCAGCAGTTTTTTAACAAGCTGCAGGGGTGTCATAGTAGACTAAAATGCAGTTCTGCTCCTATGCTGTCTTTTCTAATCACACATAGAACGAATCGTCTGTCTTTGTCTTTTTGTCTGTCTGCTTTTTATGCATATGTGTCTAGCAGGAATACTAAGCTATTACTAAGATAATACTAGAGCACTCGGAGAGCGCAGACCTCCTCCAAGCAGCTCGGATTTCCCGCCATTGTATTATTTTATCCACTTCGCTTCAACCGATTACCACCAAATTTTAACATCTGTTCCTTGTCCCGTTATCAACCTTTCCTGAAAATTTCATCAAAATCCGTTCAGAACATTTTGAGTTATTTTGCAGACAAACAGACCAACGCCGGCGAAAACATAACCTCCTTGGCGGAGGTAATAAAACAGAAAATAGACCATACGCTGAAAATATTGTGGCAGGTCGGCATTGCAGCGATAGTTTTATCATGCTGGAAGGCGACAGAGCGGATGCAGAGCTCTGTGACTGGCTTTCCAACTTCAGGGTGCTTCTGTATCCTGTCTAATGATGAATGTGGCAGCTTGGCGGAGCTCAGTTGCTGGTCTCGGAGCTCCGTGGCTGGCTTTCAGGCTTCAGGGTGTTTTGCAGCGCTTACACCTCTTGTCTTAACCTGGCGTTCTTATCCAGATGTGCTCTCAGATACTTACATTTGACACAGTTGAATTTAATGTGAACCAATTCTTTGTAGTAGTACTGACATTATTTGATTGGTACCCTTAAAAGTCCTGAGTTCTGTATCCAACCCTAGGAAGAAATATGCCCTAATCCTGGCACAGGGTGTGGCTTAAAAAAATATCCAATGCCAGGAACTCAAGTGGATGGTTAGAAATAAAAACATTTTAGTAAATATGGGCTACCACATTATAAAAATACACCAACAAGTATTTGCACACCTGCCTTCCCCAGGGTGTCTTGACACATAATGAACCTTGTTCGCTGGCTAAAACCTCTTTGGGAAAAGCAAAAAATTCCTCCATGCAGGTAAAAACCCTGGTACAGATGAAGACAGCCATTTTGGTTGGTTAATACATAATGCATGTAAAAAACTGCAGCTCTTGTGTTTGTAATAATATAGTAATGATAGTTAACAATACGAGGAAATGTATTCCATATTGCATTCAAACTGTTTATTGCAAAATGCAGCAGATTATCACAAAATGCTAGCTTTGAAAATGTTTTTGTTAGGTTATTACTAACCCAAAGTGGTAAGCAGTCCAATTTCACACACCTGTATTACGGTGAACTCTTGTACATGCATATAATATAATTCTATCATGTTAAACATTTTGCCAAGAATAGTTATTTCAGTTGCAGCTTTTTAGGTCTTTAAATCACTGGCACTATTAATTTCAGAGTCTGTCTCTCTGTGTCAAAAGATTTTTTTGCAGAACTCATCTGGAAAAAGTTGTGATGTCACATCAGAAGATTTGACACTGTCTGACTCATGTTTCAGACTTTGAGGAAACCCTAAAAGAGGGTTTGACATATTTGCAGTGAGAAAGTGCCATCTCTCTTTTTCCCTTGTTAAGATCACAGTGTGAAACTGGCCAAAGAGCAAACCAGCCTGTCTGTAAAACTGTTGCTGAAACAAAGTGAAATGCAAACATCATCTGGCCTCCTTCCATGAAAGATATGATATCACCACACCACGCCACATTCCTTGGCATTTCTGTGATGAGACCGCTTCCAGTTAACATTCATCATGCAGTTGCATTGCATCTGGTTGTTTTCAGTAGGGATGTCCCGATCCAGCTTTTTCACTTCCAATCCGATACCGATGTTACAGCCTTGAGTTTTGGCCGATACCGATACCAATCCAATCCAAGCGCGTATTAT